CCATGCCCCCCTGCTTTGTGCAAGTGCCTTTGTAAAGTGGCTCAAGCAACTGCCTACTATACAGTGGCCTTTCTTAAGGCACTTAGGGCAAAGCACCTTCTGGTGCTTAGAGATTTCACCAGAGGAAAAGGTCTAGCTGCAGAGCTGGGCAATGTGAAAATCTAAAAAGAACCCTAAGAGTTCAAGACATCCTTGGAACAAAGAAATCTGTTTTAACGTTTTAAAGATATGCATGCTCAAAGTGTTTTTTAGACAGGGCCATTCTTTTTATGATTGTTTTTTCTGAGTGCAGGATCTTAAGGGGGAAAGAGTTATCAGTTGCAATATGATTTGTGTATGCCCTGCAGGTGACCATTTGATGTGCAGCTCCAGCACAGATCTGCCAGATCTGCTGAACTGATGGGAAAAAAGAGACAAGAGTGCTGGCAAGAGAGGGCCCAATTGGTGGCAGGGAAAAGTGCAGGTTTTCAAGGGATTTTTGTAGGATCCATTGGGGTTTCTGTAGGTTTCTATAGGTTTTCTGTAGGGTAGCCTATTGGGCTGGAAAAGTTGAAGCGGTACACTTTGAAGCGTGATCTTCGGCTTGTCTTTGAATTAAGCACCAGAAAGCACCAAGTTTTTTACCCGAAGCCCAGAAGGCGAAGGATCGAAAAAAAAGAACATTAACAAAGTTTTGATCGAAAGTGCTTCAGAAAGCTCCAGCACTAAGCTTCTAGAATAACCCTCAGCCCCTAGAACGTTTTGTGGCTGGTGCATAGTCTTTCTGCATGCGCCTCTCTTGCTGTACAGAGAAGAAAAGCTGCGTCAGCGTACAAACACATGCCGCGCATACCCGATGACATCATGACAAAGGAGGCGAATATAAGGTACCATAGCTGAGTTTCCTTTCATCTGGAGCTACCATCTCTGTACCTCTGACAAAGGAGGGAATGTAAGGTACCTTACCTTAGCTAAGTTTCCTTGCATTTGGAGCTTCCATCTCTCTACCTCTCACAAAGGAGAAAAACGTAAGGTACCTTAGCTAAGTTTCCTTTCGTGTGGAGCTTCCATCTCTCTACCTCTCCAGAATGGAGGAGGACATAAGGTACCTTAACTAAGTTTCCTCTCATTTGAAGCTTCCACCCTCTATATACCTCTCACAAAGGAGGAGAACGTAAGGTACCTTAGCTAAGTTTCCTTTCATTTGGAGCTTCCATCTCTCAAGGCACTTTAGCTATGCTTTCATTTAAAGCTTCCATCCCTCTACTTCTCACAAAGGAGGAGAACGTGAGGTACCTTAGCTAAGTTTCCTTTCATTTGGAGCTTCCATCTCTTTACCTTTCACAAACGAGGAGAACGTAAGGTACCTTAGCTAAGTTTCCTTTCGTTTGGAGCGTCCATCTCTCTACCTCTCTCACAAAGGAGGAGAAGGTAAGGTACCTTAGCTAAGCTTCCTTTCATTTGGAGCTTCCATCTCTGTACCTTTCACAAAGGAGGAGAACGTAAGGTACCTTAGCTAAGTTTCCTTTCGTTTCGAGCTTCCATCTCTCTACCTCTCACAAAGGAGGAGAACGTAAGCTCCCACAAAAAGGGAGAACGTAAGGTACATTAGCTAAGTTTTCTATCGGTTGGAGCTTCCATCTCTCTACCCCTCACACAAAGAGGAGAACGTAAGATACCTTAGCTAAGTTTCCTTTCAGTTGGACCCAGTTGGAGCTTCCATCTCTCTACCTCTCCAGGTACCTTGCTAAGTTTCCTTTCATTTTGAGCTTCCATTTCTCTACCTCTCCGAAAGGAGGAGAACGTAAGGTACCTTAGCTAAGTTTCCTTTCATTTGGAGCTTCCCTCTCTCTACCTCTCACTAAGCTTTAATTCGGAGCTGCCACCTCTCTACCGCTCACAAAGGAGGAGAACGTACCTTACATGAAAGGAAACTTAGCTAAGGTGCCTTACATTCTCCTCCTTTGTGAAAGGTAGAGAGATGGAAGCTTCAAATGAAAGGAAACTTAGCTAAGGTACCTTCCTTTGTCAGAGGTAGAGAGGTGGAAGCTTCACATGAAAGGAAACTTGCTAAGGTACCTTACTTTCTCCTCCTTTGTGAGAGGTAGAGAGATGAACCTTGCGCAGATTTCCTGGCAGGCGCAGCACTTTGTGAACCTTGCAGTGCACATTTCGTGACAGGCACAGCACTTTGTGAACCTCCACGTGCAGATTTCGTGGCAGGCGAAGCACTTTGTGAACCTCGAAGGGCAGATTTCCTAGCAGGCGCAGCGCTTTGTGAACCGCCACGTGCAGATTTCGTGGCAGGCGAAGCAGATTTCGTTGCAGGCGCAGCACTTTGTGAGCCTCGAAGTGCAGACTTCCTGGCAGGCACAGCACTTGGTGAACCTCGAAGTGCAGATTTCGTGGCAGGCGCAGCACTTGGTGAACCTCAAAGTGCAGATTTCGTGGCAGGCGCAGCACTCTGTGAACCTCAAAGTGCAGATTTCGTTGCAGGCACAGCACTCTGTGACAGATTTCGTGGCAGGTGCAGCGCTTGGTGAACCTCGAAGTGCAGAGTTCGTAGCAGGCACAGCACTTGATGTGCAAAGTTCGTGGCAGGCGCAGCGGCGCAGCACTTTGTGAAGCTCGACGTGCAGATTTCGTGGCAGGTGCAGCACTTGGGGAACCTCGAAGTGCAGAGTTCGTAGCAGGCACACTTGGAGAACCTTGATGTGCAAAGTTTGTTTCAGGCGCAGCACTTTGTGAACCTCGAAGTGCACATTTAGTGGCAGGCACAGCGCTTTGTGAACCTCCACGTGCAGATTTTGTGGCAGGCGCAACACTTTGCTCGCAGTGCACATTTCGTAGCAGGCACAGCACTTTGTGAGCCTCCATGTGCAGATTTTGTGGCAGGCGCAGCACTTTGTGAACCCCGAAGTGCAGACTTCCTAGCAGGCGCATCACTTTGTGAACCTCCAGGCGCAGATTTCTTGACAAGCACAGCCCTTTATGAACCTTGCAGTGCACATTTCGTGGCAGGCGCAGCACTTTGTGAACCTCGAAGTGCAGATTGCGTGGCAGGCGCAGCACTTGGTGAACCTGAAAGGGCAGATGTCGTGACAGACGCAGCACTTTGCGAAATCTGGTCACTGGTTCGTGGTCGCTGATTCGCGAAATCTGGTCGCTGATTCCTTGGTCGCTGATTCGGAAAAGCTGTTCGCTGATTCGCGAAATCTGGTCGCTGATTCCTGGTCGCTGATTCGTGGTCGCTGATTCGGACCGCTGGTCGCTGATTCGGATCGCTGGTCGCTGATTCCGTGGTCGCTGATTCGGCAAAGCTGGTCGCTGATTCGCGAAATCTGGTCGCTGATTCCTGGTCGTTGATTCGTGGTGACTGATTCGGACCGCTGGTCGCTGATTCAGAGTTTTCTCCCTTCGGGTGGCGTCCGACGCCACCCCTATGAGAAGGGGTTCAAAGCTCCTGCTTCAGTAGGATTAAGAGCAAGCCACGATTTCAAAGACTTGCGCCGATTTCACGAGGAGCTGCACCTCCTAGAGGCGATTTCGAAGCCCTCCCTTCTGGAGGCGGACGGGTGGGCGGGGCTTGGGGCGCGGCTTGGGTCTAAGGCGAGGCGACTTTCCTCGAAGCATAGGCCTCCAGGGAAATGGGTATGGGTAGAACGGTAGAACTCGATTCCTTAGGCGAGTGTTGTGTTTTCGCATGATTGAGCACATCACTGATGGTTACCGGATGCCAGTGCTCAGTGCTCCAACAAAAGCGACCACCATGTCTGGACACCTCCAACGACCACCGGATGTTAAAAAGCCACCGACCGACGGCCGCGTCCTCCTTTCGATGCACCAGGCCTGGCAGGAGGCGACCGGGGCGAAGAGGTTGACTGTGAAGCTCTTCGGTTCCCTGGAGCCACAAGTGGAGGGCGGAGGGACCGGAGCCGCGGCAGACTTCACCCCAGCATTTGCCATGTGTGGAGGGCGCATGATGAAGCCGACAGGTAGCTAGCTACAGATCAAAGGACAAGGAAGGAGGTATGGTATGATTTGAGATGCGCTACAGTGAATGGTTTCATGATTTGCACATCCATTTTCCAGAAAGAAGTCAGGAGCGAGTTTTTGCCAGATACAACGTGTTCTAAAGTTCACTAAAGCTTGAGGCAATTCAATTGACTCTTTTTCGACGCTTCGACGTGTTCCGGATTCTATCTATATTTGCTTACTACTTGAGGACTGCAGGGAAGGACGGATGGAAGGAAGCATCAGCATCTCCGATTGTCTGGCATCCTCAATTCATGTTCCTTCAACAGGGCCCGATCTCGGGGTATCGCTCGAGAGATCGGCGAGTTGGAGGGCACGGCGCCCGAAGTGGCCCCCGAACTTGAGATGTTGAAGCCCTCAGCAGGGTTGCCAGGGTTGCAGTAGGGGGGAGTGCTTGGATTTGCTCAAAGGACATTCCACACGCTCAGACGGGTGAATTTAGGGGCATGAAGTTCCACTTCTCCCAGACCAGCTCCGTCAACTCAGCATCGACTCACCAAGGTGCCGGCACGGCTCCTGGAAAGGCCGTCAGCAGCGAGGCTCGGCGGCGGTGCACAGCTGAAAAACCCGGCACGAGGTTGGCACCATTATGATGATGCTAGTTTTCATCAATGATGGGCTCCAGAAAAAACCATGAAAAAACCATCCAAGAGGTTGCTGATGGCTGCTGTGACCACAGCGCGTTACATGGAGCGAGAGAAAGAGATTACATAATGAATAGCATGCATGCACACTAATATTACTGGTCATTGAGTAATTGGACATGGCAGATGCACCAGTTGCAGATGGCTGTTTTCCCAGTTTCCTTTACACCGGGGCCCTCCAGACTTTTCATCACTGCGACCGTCGCCGATGTATACCAATGCCTTCCCCAAAGTGGATCACCGGCGACAGCTTCCCTTTCTCCGTGTCCGGCGAGTCAAACACGCCGCGGGACGCGGCAAGTTCGCCGCGAACTGCGAAGTAGGAGTTGGAGGTGATCTCTGATGTGGAACACGTGGCCTTTGCCGACGCCGGGCGTGGTTTTATATCTTTTTCTGCGCGTGGCGGCCCATGGTTTCGTCAGCATCAGTCCAGAAATGTGACTGAGGCAGGCTTTTGCCAAGTTCCAGTAGTGTTGTTGCCAGCTGGACTGCATGTGCTTTGTTTTTGGAAGCCAAGTTCCAACCATTGGTTGAAGGGGATTCGCATGGATTCGCTTTTCTGTCTGGGTCGCAACATGTGTGATGAGATTTCATCTGGCCTCCAAACACTTTTGGCAACCCCAAGTAACCCTTGTTCTCCGGCCGCCGGAGAAGACCCGGTCGCGTTTTCCGAAAAACCCACGGTCAGCCCGACCGACCGATGGGCCAAGGAGGATGTTCCGCGCTGGCCGCATCGATACCTCTGCAAGTGAGAAAGTGCACCTCTGAGTGAAGGGATGGGGAGGAAACATTGAGAATGTCCAGTGAAAGGTGCCTGGGGTGTGTAGAAGTCCACACTTGGATGTTTATTTTGGGGTGCATAGTTGCCAGGATAGGTCTTGAGTTACGGATTTGATTCGGTTGAGTTTATATATATATATATTATATAGATTAGTTCCCTGCAAGTATTGGAGGGTGGATCGGAAAATTTATCTTGGAATCTTCGTGTCATTGGGCGTCTAAATGCGCATCTTCTAACTTCTTGTGGCTCGAGATGAAGGATAAGTCGGCCGGGACCTTTACAGGTTCGCGGGTCGATTTAGATGAGCGATCATGTGGAGCACACTTCGTCGTCCTCCTCGAGCACCACTCGATGGGTGCAGAAGTTGAACAAGACCTGGAAACGCCAAGACGAGGACAACGAGGAGACGGTGCGGTCCAGTGCTGGTGGGGCGGTTGCGCGGCTTCTGGGGCCACGCAAGAAGTGTCCAGCCATTGCAATTGCAAGAGCCTTTGGGGCCACTCAGTTGTTCCCACCCTACTATAGGGTATCAAGTTTTCTTCGACTTGAAGGAGAAAGGGATGTGGATTGAACCCCGTTTTTCCTTTGTGCTGGATGATCTGGTGGGAGCGTTTCATTCGTTGGCCTTCAACGCTTTTCCTCACCTTTCTTCGTAGCTGCGAAGAGCGGGGACATGGTGTCGGTGTTCAAGATTCTTCCAGGACTTCCTCAACCTGAGGATCATCTCCATGTGTTCTTCGCTTCGCTTCGGATCGTCCTCTCGTCGGGTCTCACACGACACCTCGTCGCTCGCGTCTCCAGGAACAGAGCGGCGCATCAGGCAGTGGCAGCGCTCAATGTACCGACGGTGCGCCCAGCCAAGGCGATGGGCTGCGGCTCCCCCTGTCAGCAGCCGGACGGGGCCTCCGGATGGTCGGTTTTGCGGGGTGGAGGGCTTCAGGACGTGGTGTTGCAACAGGACGGACCCTGCCAGAAAACAGGGGTTTGGAAGTTGATGCCAGCGGTTTGGTTGGTGGGGAGTGGCATGTTTTCAAGATCACGGGTGCAATGCCCCCAAAATCATCGCCCAGGTCATGACTTCGTCATCGGGTCCTTAAGAGTCCTTTTCTACTCCTCCGCATCGCGGAGTTGGTCGGACCATGGGCTTCCGCTGGACGGAATCTTCGACCGCTGGGGGTCCAGGTTCGGGGCTCCGTTACAGTGGTTTCAGTGGATGGCGCCGGCCCCCCAGGATTTATGGTAGTATTCTTTTAGACGGGGGCCTATATAAACCACCTTTCAACCGACTTGTAGGGCAAACATTCTGGCGCAGGATCGGTCAGAGGAGATGTGGAGTCAGAAGAGGTCTCTCCGCACACGGCTGGCACGTGTGACTCGGCGATCCATTAAGCGTATCAGAGGAACCTCCCCAGTTTTTTTCTCAGAAAGGGACGCTATGCGGGTGTGTGTTTCACGGTGGTAACAAAACACAACGTTTTTTTTTTTTTTTTATAACCCTACCTTTCATGAAACGATTGCTTCAGTTACCCCCTGCTGACATGTGAGATGAATTGAATAAATGTTTTTTCATAGAATATGCGGATGTCAGTTTTCTGCAGGTAATAAATACATATATGTTTCTAGTATGTATTTCGAATTGCTTCTCTCTCCGGTGCGTTACCTAGACTCATGGTTTTGTAGACAGAGTTGATCTTGTAGACTGGGGGGGGCCCAAAAAACAAAAACTGCGGAAACTCCTTTGGTCACTAAAGCGGCCTGCGGTCAGATGTACACTTCTCTATTTGTGCGTGTCATGTCTTAGACATGGGAGTGAGTCCTTTACACCAAGTTTCGTACTCCTCCTTCATGGATGGAGTGTAAACTCTATTCATGACCCTCATGGTCCTTCACGGCTGCTCTGGCCGGGGATCCATAAACTCAAAACACTCTTCCATCTTTCTATACATATCACCAGCCATCTCGTGATCTCCTGCCCTCGTGGCATGATACCACGTGGCCTCAATCTTTGCAAGCTCCTGTCGAGCCTTCAAATCTGCCCTGTTGTAGGGCCTGTTGCAAAAAGAACACTTCGACTCAGGAATCTCGATTGGCTCCGGTTGCCAGGCATGAGGATGTGTTTGTCCTGGCTCCGGTGTCGGCTCGTGCTCTCCATATCCTCATCTTCATCCCTACCGGACTTGGCGACTTGGCTCTGGTGGTGGATCCGGTGCCTGGACAACCTCCCTGGCAATCTCCAAGTACTCAATGGGGACGTTGACCACCTCCCCACTGTCCAGCTCCACGGTGGCTGTTTCCCCACTCAGCATCCTTGCAGCAATCCTTGCATCACCCGGATCATCGTGGTCATCTCGTGGTGGTCCAGGATCATCCACAGAGAACCTGTTAAAAATTCTCGATTCGCCTTGTTCCTGTTTTCTCTGATTCACTGCATCCCACTGAACTTTGAGATGTAGCCCTTCATGACGTCGGTTGATCTTCTCCAGGAACTTCAGCGTTTCCCATTCTAAACCATCACGAATCGAATGATCCTCAACGAAGCCTCCCCGGAAAACCAAGGCTCGGTGGATCCTTTGAGTGTAATCCACTTGCATCGACCACACTCGCTCTTGCTCCTCTCCGGCACTGATGTGGTTGTGCTTCGCCACTTCCAACTCACTTTCGAGGATCACAATTCGGTTGTCCAGGTCCCTGAACTTTCTTCGAAGCCACCATACCAGGAAGATCGCTGCCACAATCATGATGATGTAGAAGAGCTTTTCGATATAGTTGGTGTTCTCTGACAGGTCTGGTTCCACTCTTGCGCCAGTAGCCAACTCAAGACCGCTAACGAAGACCAGCCTATTCAAATACTTTGCAATCTTCATCACCTTTCCTTTTTCAATGTGCTGCTCATTGAACTGTTCGCACTCTTGCTGTCCAACTCGTTCACCTTCAGCATCTCGAGCTTGTAGCCAGTATAAGAGCAGCTTCAATCGGCTCCTTGACAATGGCTTGGTTCCAATGTCTGAGATGTTCTTGGCCGTCCCAATCTGTCGGACCTCCAACTCGCCACTTGCTACTTTGTCTTGACACCAAAGCAGCTTCCCACTCACATGTCGTAGCTTCCCAGCTCCTCTCTTGCATGCGATTTGTCGAGTGGCCGAGTTGTCTACGAGGCAAATGTGGTGAACATCATCTCCTGTAAGGAACTGTAGGCTGTGCTTCAAACAGATTCCATCACATGCTCCTGAGACAAGGGCGTGCAGTTCGCTCTCTGCTGATGACAAACTCACCACCTTCTGTCCTCTTGAAGAGCAATGCACCACAATCCCATTGACTGCATGTACAGCAGATGAGGTACTTCTCCGGGTAGCCCTGTTCCCACTCCAGTCTGCATCTGTATAGGTCTCCAAGATCCAGAGATAGGGACTGTGGGTGCTCATACCCTCACCTCTCTTCGGCATTGGGAGCATCATGGACTGATCTGCAGTGTCCTTCAAACATCCCAGGAACTTCTTCATCTTCTGGATGGAAATTTCTGTAGGACTCGACATCTTTCCTGCCGGCTCCTTGATGCAAAAGGAAATGTCACATTGTCACATCTCTCTTGGGCTAGGTAGATGCCCATGCCAACTACCGACCTGTAGATTGCTGCTTGTTGCGGTGGGACTGTGCTCGAACCATCAAAGTCTTGAATATCTGATGTCGCCGGAACACGTTGCCTTCTCACCACCCCGAAGTAGTCCTCAAAGGTCTTCACCATGCTCGCTGCATAGCCTCCAGGCTTAATCAAAAGCCCTTCGGTTGTGTAGATGTACTTCCTCTTTAGGAAAGAAAACTCTTCTCCATGGTCCTTCACCATGTTGACCTCGACGTCGAACTTCTTCTTCATCTGGTCGATGTAGTCCATCACTGGCTTCTCCCTGCCTGTGAACATAATATCATCAACATGGATCAATACGGAGACGAGCTCTTCTCCTGTTCCCTTCTTCCCCAAGCATGGGTTGATGATGTCGAAGGAGAATCCCTGTTCTTCAATGAGGTAGGATCTCAAGTGCTCATACCAGGCCTTTGCACCGATTCTCTGACCCGGCAAATTTCGCAGTAATTTGTACTCTCCCATTGCCGTCACAATGCGCAATGGCCTCTCCTGCGGGACTTGGAGGAAGGCATCCTTGACATCCAAAGCTCCAATAACCGGCCTGCCCTTGTTTTGCTCATAGTCCATCTCAGCACTTGCTGCAGTCAAGAAAAGCACGGGCAATAGGCGTAGGGCATGTTGACCACTCGCCGGGCTATACACATCATCTCTCTTCTCGATGGCGTAGTCCCTAGCAACAAGCCTTGCTCTCCTCAGCCATCTTTTGTGCTTCATGCCATTCTTGTCCACATAGGTCTTGATGCGCCAGTCATAGACAAACCTTGTTGTGAGCACATCCAAATTCGCTTCCTCCGGTTTCAGCTTCTCGATGACATCCATCCTTGTTAATCTCTTCTCTTCCACCTTCCTGGCCACTGCGTCAACTTCTTCTGAAGGTTGTGGGGGTGTCTGCGTCAGTGGATGGTCTGACCATAGCTCCTCTGGAATGGCACCTGGCTCGAGATCCTCAATCTCTTCTGGCCCACCTTCGATGGCTAAGGTCTCCACGTCGATGACCTCGTCCAAGTGGTAAAGGTCCTCGCCAGCCACATGAACACGTTCCACCCTTCTCTCAATCATCATTGTCCTTGAGGCTGATGAAGATTGTCCTTCTCGATCTGGCTCTTCGGGTCTCAATCTTTTTTAGCTGATGAAGGTGGTGGGAGTTTTCGCAAAATTCTCCTCATCGTCCCAGGGGAGTGGTGGAATCACCATAGGAACATCTCCTCCTGGCCCCTACTCTGTGGCTGCGTTGCAAGAACTGGGGGTGTAGCTGTTCCTGTATTGGGCTCATCTAACTGCGGGGCACTTGGTGCTGGTAAACCTGCAACAGCATCTTGTAGTTCTGCCCTTTCT